AATTACCAGAAATTATACATACCTCTAACTAAGCCCTTAGCTTAAACAGCTAGTTCGATTTAACGTTATTTTTGATAACGGTATCACTTGATCTTCAACACACTCGTCAGAATCTTTTCTGTTGGTTGTATTTCCTACAACTTTCGACTTGAAAGGTCATTAATTACATGAATGCCTCCATAAATGTACGAGATCAATTTATTAATAATATACATGAAAAAAATATTCAGTTCTGATTGGTTAAGGTAAATGCAGTCTTCAGGTAATTCAATGCAGAATAGGGTTAATTCAGTGCAAAGAAGTAATAAACCAGACATTCATTCATTCGTCAATAATCAAAGAAATTCACAGATAGCCAATGAAATGTGAGCCTTGGATGTTGCAACATTTGGATACGCTTAAAATTTGTGAGCGAAACAATGGCTGGTGTTTTATGTAGGTTTTCTTTCGCCACCGCAACAATAATACAGCAGCTGAAAAACAGCTCTAGCAACGAAAGCACTGTAAAAAGCACTGCTTTTGGGTTGTCGGTTTGGAAAAAGTGGTGTTTGGAGAAGGAAATTGCCAAGGAAATCGAAAATTACGAGCCGACCCAACTTTACTCTGGTGATTCTACGCCGAAATTAAAAGCAAACATAGTTAAACCTCACAAACGACGATTCCATTCCATCGAAAGTGATTCAGATACAGACTGAATAATTCCTTGAACTGTTTAGCCGGACCTTGAACTTTTTTGCGCCATAAAGATGTGAAGATATCATTGTATCTTACTGTTTTGATCTAACGCGGGTTTGAATAAACTATTTTTGCCACTGATGCCAGCACTTTCGGCTTCTTTTCGTATTTTTTTTATGTATATTATTAATACGTAATCACAAGATTTTTCTCGTGCAATTTGGAATAAATCAGTACTTTTTAATTTACTCGTGCTTATTTATTCTAAATTGCATTCGAAATCATTTGCTTTGTGAAGGGATTGGCTATTAGCGGCAGATATTGGTTTATCCACCTTACCCGCCAGAAACTGTCTGCTTCATTTCGTAGCTGCTGGGAACATTTTGTGTCACAAAAAACTAGCTTCCAGAATTCGTCTTGACATTATCAAATACGAAGCATACCACGATGGAATATAAGGTTATAAGGTGTATGCGTTTCTCTGGGCCTGTCGTATTAATTTCTCACCTTTGTAGTACAACCCATTCCTTCATGGGGACAGGAAATTATGGTCAGCGGACACTCATCTTTAGTGTGATTCGAAACCTGCATCACATGAAATAAAGGACTAAAATAAAGAGGAATGGCGCGCACCAAAATCTGTTAATGGAAAAGAGTGCTGAAGGGGTGGCGGGACTAAACTTGAGCGTCATGTTAAGTTCTACAGCCTCTTCTCTGCAGATGCCACTTTTCGCTTATCTGCCATTTTCGAGTGGGAATCGAATCTAATGAATAGAACTGTGGCATTGTTTGGAATCCATCGTATGAAGTCAAGTGATTGACGTAGATGCAAGTGTGGATAAAGAAATTCAAAATCAATCGATGATCGCCGGTTACTGTCGCTGGAACACCACAGTGAGGTTCTCATAACAATTTTATGTAGCTCTCCTTTACCGTTTTGCGTTTTTCAATGACTTATAGCATGGAGCAGGCTGAAAAAAGAATGAATGCGGCCTGTAAAAGTGGTTTGTTGTTTTTCAGTGAGAATGAGATGTAACGGGGAAATAACATGAGAGGCTTTAAATAAAGCAAAAGAGGAGTTGTTT